GCCCCCAGCTTTGAGACGAGGTGCGGGAAAACCGCACCCCCGGGGCTCCCCGGCAGGACATGTCACATCCCCCCTTGCACCCTCCCACCCGGGACCCCCACCTCTCCGTGGGCAGCGCGACCACCCCTCTCTGCGACCAAATTTAGGAGGCTGCTGCAGCAATCAAACGGGGCCGGGGGACCCACGGTGCCCACGCGTGGCGGAGGTTCCCACGCACAGGCTCCAAGGGAAAAGAGGCATGGGGTCGGGCGCTGCCCTTACCTCGGCACCCCTTCGTGCTGCCTTCCCTTTGGCTGAGCTTTTTGGGGCAGCAGGTGTTTCTCCGAGCCTGGGCAGGAGCCCGAAGCGGCCCTTCCAGGCAACGCCTTGGGGGGCGAGGGGTTTTAGGGCCGCCTGTAAATAGGGCTGTGCTCGGAGAAGGGGCACCGACGAGTAAAGCCGTCCTCCTCCCTGCTTGCCAGGTCCCCTTCGAGAAGCGCAGCATCCCTCCCGACTTCCCCAAACGGCCTGCTTCAACTTCACAGCCAAAAAACGCCGGTCCACGCCGCCACCGGGGCTGGCATCCCGGGGCTGGCTGAAGGCTGCTCCCCACCAAGGGCTGCGGGCACCTACGGCAGGCATCGCCCCCGGGGGGGTCCGGGGGGACCCTGAGGGATGGGTTCTCCTCGGAGCTGCCGACCGACGCGGCTGTAGGGGGACCGGGGCAATTGTCCCCTTGTCGCCCTACCTGCAGTGCCCTCCCTCCCCCCGAGCGGGGAAGGATGTGTCGGGAGAGCGAGGAGGCGTTTGATCATTTACTGCCCACGGAGGCATTTGTTTTTCATTTTGCGAACGCTTCCCTTTAAGTAATTGTTCCTGTTAAGAGCGTATACCTTTCACAGGGCTTCGCCGCGCTATAAATAATCTCGATGAAGATGCAAGGATATGACTTTCACAAGATTGGACAATTGATTAAAACTGTGACCTGCAATTGCGAATAATCTTGGAAGGCTATTTAAACAGATGAAGGCCTAAATTGTCTTGCTTGTATCTGAATTAATTTCTCATTCATCATCATTATGGAGTGATTGGTTCTATTCAGGCTCTGCAGCCTGCTGGAACGAAACTGGATTTAAATGAGACTGTAACACAATTTAAATGCTCTCCAGCTTTAACGAGGCCAATCGAGCAGCTGCAATAAATACAAATATTTTTCTAAACAGCCTTGTTTTAAATAATTACTTAATACTTTCATGTGATGTTCTTAAGTGGCAATTTCTGTCTCTCAAGAAGTCCCAGTCACTTCTTCGCAGAGAGGGCAGCGGGGAAAATCGCTTTGCCCGTTTGCTTTGTGTGTACGTATATGTACATGAAATACACCGGTGGTGATTCTTTAAAATGTTGTGTGTGGGGGAGTATTTGTTTATTTTTATTTTTTTATTTTTTTTATTATTAGAGTAAACCTGAGCTTTGTGCCTGGTTGTTGTAGGCATACTCAGTTTAAATGATTAAAAAAAGGGGGAGGGGGAGGTGTCTTATGGTGATTTATTTGTTGTTTTGTTTGCTTGTTTGTTTGAAGTGAGAGAAAGAGAAGAAAAAAAGTTGGCAAAGACAGGGACCTGCCCTAACCATGGGCTGCCCGAACCGCAGCCCTTCCCGAGACCCTCCCCGCACTCGCCCCGCGCTCAGCACTCGGGTGCGGAGCGGGACGCGACCCTTGCAAAAGACGCAGCAAGGCGAGCTGCAGGGAGCGGGCAACAAACGGGGGGCTCGGGGGTGAAGGATTTGGGAGCCGCTTCCCTCCCCCGTACACCCGTGCAGGAACCTGATGCGCCTGGATGAAGCCACTCGTGCTATAGAGACTCCAAGTCGTCCTGGCGGTGGCTTTACCCCCGGGTGACGCTATTGTAAGGGGCAGGACAGCGGGCCTTGGGGTGCCATATGGCGGAGAGTGTTTTCAGGGGCTAAACTCGGTAGTAAAATTAAGTAGGCAGGCGAGCGGGAGAATAATAGGAAACAAAAGGATCCTGGAGATATACAAGCCAAAAGCTAAAGGAGCCGCACGCCTTGCTGCAGGTGCTGGAAAACGACCTAACAACCGAGCAGAAAATGTGAAATATGGAGAGCCGATTTTCTAATGATTTGGGCGCTGGAGTAAAGAATCGTGCTGGGAAAGCAGTTCCGATCCAGTTTAATCATACAGCCTTAATAAAAACGTATAGCCTGAGACGGGGAAGTAAGCGGTAGTCTCGGCGCTATCTCACTTAATGGCACAGAAGGTGACATAAAGCACAACAAAGATGGTCTGAGTAGAGCCGAAAAGGGCTGAGTGATTTGATGGTAACGGAGCAATTTAATGCGCGAGTTACAACACCGCTCCCCGGGATCGTTTAGGCTTAACCCGTTCTCTAGAGCTCATCTTCTTCCTCTTCTGGTCCTTTTTTTATTAGTATTATTATTATTCAGTTGTTTAAAATGAGCATTATCCCAAACATATGCAGTGCAATCAGCTCGGTCACACTTACAAGAACACGCTTTAATAAGGCAATCAATCAAACGCTAACAAGGCGGGGAAGGCCTTTTGGAGCTCAACCGGGCTGGCTGCGAAGAGGAGCCCAGGCGGCACATGGGGTACCCCGAGCCCCCCGGGGTGGGAGCATCCCGGGGGGCTGCGCCCGGCCGCCACCGCCCAGCGCCCTCCGAGGGGCTCGGCCCCGGCCAGGGATAGGCGAGGGGGACCCGAGGGGACCCAGGCAGAGCCCTTGTACATCGGGTGCCCCGTGTCGTCCCCCCCCCCCGGCCATGGCCCACGCGTGCCCGGAGCCGGCGCCCTGCGTGGGGCCGCGGGCATCCCCGCCGGCGGCGAAGGCGTTAACGGCAGCGGCCCCACGCAGCAAAAGGAAAATTTCATTATGAAGTAATGAGTAATTCCTCCCGGCGAGATGTATTGTTATATCTTCCACTTCAATTTAGGAGCACAGCGGCTCAATTACCTAGAAAATACAGTCAATTAAAGGCTGCTGATTGGACACGAGGACGGATCATCGATCTTGTACTTTCCAATATCGCTCCAGACACCTCATTTTCCCTCCCCTATTAACTGAAAATACTCTCGGCATTACTGCGACCCGGAGCCCATTTACCTGTCGCAGGCAATCTCTGCCGTGCGCCCGAAGGCACCGCCAGCCCGGACTGCGGGCAGGAGGGTGGCAGCCGCCGCCTCGCACGCCCATCTCACATATATATATATGGATAAACGTATATCTGCGTGGATCTCTCCCTATATAGCCCTGCGCCCTAGCCCATAGCGTTTTGCAGCCCCGGGCATTTGGCGAAGAAACGCCGCGGTCCTTACTCCCGCCGCCTCGCTGCCCTGGGCAGCAGCCTTGGCCGGATCCTGCCCTGCGACCCCAGCAAGTGCTTTCGGGGATGGAGGCAGTGCCACCTTGGAGCCCCCGCTTTTACCCCGCAGCATCCAGCTGCTCCCCTCCTCTCCAAAGCCGCCTTTCCACGGCGACGCCAGGGGGGCTTTATCGGGCAGTCGTTGCCTAGCTCCTGTTTTACCGGGCTGCTTCTTCTCGTGCCTGCTAAAAGATAAAGTAAAGGGGGAAAAGGCGCCTGCAAAGCCAGGATTTTGTTTAGCTCTGCCCTTGGACTCTGTTTACAATTGTTATTTCCGGGGGTGGGGGGAGGAGAGTCTGTTTGTGAGTGTCCAAAAAGGGCCATCAGTTTCCATGTCCATGAGGACATCTCCTTCAGAGAGGGAGGAACAATCTGCCCTTAATGATTTAAAGATGGTGACTTTGGATCCGTTTTTAAAAAAAGCTCTAATAAACAAATTTTGATTGGAAAAATGTATCCTGGCACGCCCGCGTCTCTTCCCCGCTTTCCATCCGCTGCAGGGAAACGCTGCTCTTTGCTCCCTGTCCTAAGGACAAAAAGTCTCTAGTGTGACAATAAACCAGAGGGTCCTCAGCAATTTAACACAAAGTAGATAGCGGAGGTGTCAACACGTCTTTGTTCTGTCCAGCATTTATTTTCCTGCTTGTTGAACTGTAACTATTAGAAACTGCGCGAAGGTGAAATTCGGCTTAAGCAACACTTTTACTCTTTTTTTTTTCTTCTTAAACAAGCACAATAAAAATGTGGGTGATATGTTGTTAAAATGTGTCTGTTATTATAGTTGGTGGTGGTGTTATTGTTGCTGTTAGTGTATCTTATTCCAACACGGTAACAAATTATGGGAGTGTAGTCTTTGGGCTATTTAAAAATAGAATCAAACAATTTCGGGTTTGGAAGAAACTGCCACCCAGTCCGGTGTCCGTGTTTGTTTTTTAAATTTTAGGCTGATAGAAATCCAAGCAAAAGCACTGATGCTACCTCCTTCCGAAATACCTGAAGGGGAAGGCGGGGGGCGGGGGGCTTTGTGAAAGAAATCCTCCTCGAGAAGGAAGAGAGACCAGTGTGAAGGACACATACAAATGCAAAGAGTAGGGGTGGGGAAGGACACACAAAACCCAACACTCGAATTAAATAAAAATAATAAAAAAAAAAAAAAGAAGAAAAAAAAAGCGCAGCAAAGAAAAGCCAATGAGAGAACTGAAGGCTGAAGTACAAAGGAAGGGAAATCGCCTTTGCTCCAATTTACAGACTAGTGATTGTCTGAAGGAGTTCTGCTCCCTGTCACCTAATCTCTTCCCTTGGCGGCTTGTTAGCGTTTGGCACGGGGTCTCTGCTCACAGAGCATTATACATTCGATATTCAAAAACCCTCCTTACATATACATCACTTGCTAATTTCATCGGTGTGTGCACATTTCAGCGACTGATAATAGGACATTGTTATTTAAAGGACAAATAGCTCTGACCCATGAAGAAGCGGGAGCTCGTATTTTTCCCTGCCAATTCCAGTCTGCCTCTTAAAAACAAAAGTTGGGATGAAAGAGGAGATGTACTGCTGGATTTCTGCTCAAAACGAAGGAGGAGACAAGGGAGAGTAAAGAATGCAATTAAACCACGATAGCAATGTACAGAATGTCAGTTTTTTCTTTATGGTAAAGCATCGTTTTTTCGCTATAGAAATAACTGGATAATACTGTTGAGTTGCAATCCTGAAACCTTTTGGTTTTGCTCTTTGCTCGTTGTTTTTATTTTCTGAACACTCTGAGAGATTACATCTTTGCTTTCTTCATGCGCACAAGCCATTTCGTTATCAAGACAATGTTTCTTTCAAGTATTTCAGATTTTCCTTCTCAATCTCGTAGGTTTGTGCATAAGGTTTGTTGCCGTGACCTGCAGAAGTCCCAGCCCCCGATAGGAAGTCCGTCAATTGAAAAGAAAGTCCCAGCTCATTTCTTAGTTACTGAAATGTGTTTCATTCGGCTTGGTGTTGTTTCTCTTCCGTGCCTAAAATCCTTCTTTGAGATAAATCACTAGCCGTTTTCTTTTCTTCTTCCCCACCCCACCCCTTGGAATGTAAATCCTTTCAAGACCGAGCTATTTTTTAGTCTTTTTTTTTTTTTTTTTTTTTTTTTTTCCATAGGTGTCCACTTCTGGGGAGAGAACACGATTAAATAAGCATCGGATGTAGGTACATTAAGTCGCAGCGCGCCCAGGAAAGGGGCGAATTTTTAACAACCCTGAGACGAAGGCTTATCTTGTTAAAGGTACTTCTTCCCGCTGGTCCATGGAAACCGAGGTCGCTTTGCTCAGCACAGAGGGCGTGAAAGTGAGGAAAGAGTCAGTCCTGGTCGTGGCCGAACAGGTAAAGTCTGAGCCGGAGGGTCTCTGTGCCAGCCCGTTGGACTGGCTGCCGTGGCAAGCCAGGCAGGAGCAGGGGTTGCCCCCGGCGCTGCTGAGTCCATGGCTCGGGGCAGGGTAGAGAGAGGGGTGCCTGAAGGCGCAGAGCAGTTCTGGTCTCGGGTAGGGGTGCGAGAGCACCCGAAAGGTGTCCAGCGGCCTCAGGGGGGTGCTGAACGGGGTGGCGGCGGAGGCCGAGGTGGCCCCGATGCCCATGTGGGAGTAGTAGGGCAGGGGCAGGTGGGACGGGAAGGGGTAGGGCAGGTTGCCCGTGGCCGCCGCGTGGCTCATCATGTAGGTGTAAAACGCCGGGTCCGCCGGGTGCGGCCAGGTCATGGCCAGGCGCTGCCGCTTGTCCTTCATCCTGCGGTTCTGGAACCACACCTGCCGAGAGAGGGGAGGCCACAGCCGTCACCCGCAGCCCCCGCACCCGCAGAGCCCCCGCCGAGAGGCACCGTCCCCCCGGCGGGGGGACCCTTCCTGCCCGTGTACATCTGGGGACAGAGCCACCGGAGCAGCCCTTTGGGGTGCTGCTTTTCCTTCCCCCCCCCCCCCCCACAACTGCGGCTCTGCAGAGTGAACTCAGGGCAATCCCGACCCCTTTGCCTGCTCGCTACCGTCCTGCAAACGGGATTACCTGGGATTATTGGCGTGGTTTTTTTTTTTTTTTAATTTATTTTTTATTGTGATGGGATTTTATTTATGGACGAGGCAAAGCAGAGCGGGGAGGAACGAGAAACGGAGCCGCTGCTGGCTCCCTCTTCCCTCCCACAAGAGCCGAGGGAGTTTTGGACTGGCCTGAAGGGAGGATTAAAAATAATCTGGCAGGGAGAGGCCGGATTAGCGGTGCTGGCTGGGATGGCTCCGGGAGCCGCGTCCCCTCTCCCGCATTGCTGCAGGGTGCGGGCAGGGCCAGGAAAGGGGCGGGAGCGGAGCGGGGAGGGGGTGGGGGGGGGGGGGAAGAGATGAGGGAGGGTTGTGCTGGCGAAGTGCTTCCCCGAGTTTTGCAAGGAAGTTTGGCCGTATAGATTTATATCGTGCTAATTGGAAACATGTCCGAGCTGCGTGTACCTTGATGGTGGTTTCTGGCAGATTTAGAGCAGCCGCCAGCTCGCATCTCCGGGGCCTGGACACGTAGTTCTCCCGGTAAAACTCCTTCTCCAGCCGGGCGATCTGCTCGCGGGTGAAGGCGGTGCGGTAGCGGCGCATCTGGTCGCTGGCGCTGCAGGCCAGCGAGCCCTGGGAGCCGCCGCTGCCTCCGCTGCCCTTGGGGTGATCCCCCCCGCCGCTGGGGCTGCCGGCCAGCGCCTCGGAGCACGGCCCTGCGTGGGGAGCCCGGAGCGGGGACACACGCTCGGAGGCGGGCGGACGAGGAGGGATGCTCCCCGCCCGCCTCCCTTCTCCCCCCGCACGCCTCCCCATCTATTTTGCCTCTTTTTCTATCCCCCGCCCCGGTGTGGCGAGGATGCTAGGGAGACATCCGAGGGGGCAGGGAGAAGGGGATGAAGCACGAGTACAGGACTGAGCTGGTGTTTATTCACCGTGGCTGGAAGGCTACCCCCACCCACACCCCCAAAATAATAATAATTATAATACACCACCAACACACACGCACCCCTCCCTGGCAGTGCCCGCTAGGATGCCCCGCTTGCTCTCCGCACCGCCGCAGCATCCCCCGACCCCGAGCGGCTGGGAAAGGCAGGTGTGCCCATCGCGGGGCTCCGCCGCCCCTTCCTGCAGCCCAGCAAGGGGCCAGGAGCAGAGCAGCCGGCAGGCAGCGACCCTGCTCCCTCCTGGGGCGGGGGGGGTCAGGCCTTGGGGACTCCTCGCTCAGCCTCCGATATCCTGGGTTATTTTCAACAAGCCTCTAAGGGACGGGAGAGGGCAGACAGCGCTCTCCGTGCTTCCCGGCTTCTTCTTGAAGTGATGGAGGAATGGGGAGGGGGGAAAAGCGGATTGTTGTAGGGCTGGGGGGGGGGGGGGGGGGCTCTGCCGGGATGGGAAGGTGGGAATAAGGAGTGGGGGCAGGGGGAAAAGGGGCCTGGCCGCTGCGTTTGCTTTCAAATGCAACTCTCCCTCATTGTGCCCGAGACCAAAGGCAATTAATTCATTGGGACCATTTCCGAGCTGGCGCCACCGAGACATAGAAGTGACAAGGTAATTTGGACCTCTCCTTTTTTTTTTTTAAACCCAACATGCAAACAAGGACTTCGCTGCCGCACTTCGGGCAGGCAGGAGTCGACGAGCGATTTTACGGTCTTTATGGGCGCTTCCGCACTCGCCCGGGCACATTTCACCCTGCAAAACCACAAACAGCTCTTGGCCAGAAAACCCGTTTGATCTTGCTCCCCCTCGCCCCCCCTCTTACCCCCTTCACACTCAAAACCCCGCCGGTGGGGAGGATCGGAAGGGATTTCCTGGAGCATGCACTGTCCAGGCAGTGGGGAAGAATAAAATAAATAAATAAAAAAGGATCGGGAGTGGGGGGTCCTTGGCCAAAGGGGGTCCTGCAGGACAAGCTGCAGACCTGATGCATGAGCGCCGGGAAGCCTGGCTCCCCTCCAGGGACGCGGGGGACTGCCTGGTGTCGTGTCCTCTGCCTCCCCAGCCTGCCTCCCCTCGTCAGGGAGCAGAGGGGGCCGAGGAACCGAGCAGCCAAGGGCATCTCCCCCGCTCCCCCGACCCGACTTCGCTTGCCGCTTGCTCAGCTGGCCGGGGGCAGCCCCCCTCCGGCAGCCCCCCCGCCCCCCGAGCGCTGCCCCCCGGCCGGGAGCGGGAGGGGGCTGGAGGCATGGGAAGGAGTTGGGTACCTTTGCTGTGCTGGTACTCGGCGCTCCCCGTGGCGCAGTCCGGGGTGCAGCTCACCTCGATTTCCTCATAGAAATCCGACTCGGTGTCCGAGCTGCTCTGCTGCCCTTTGCTGGAGGGGGGCTCCGGGGCGGGGGGCTGCTGTCCGGCCGAAAGCAGTGCTGCCGCCGCCGAGCGGCTCTCCGGCACCGTCCCTGTCCCCGGCAGCACCTCCACCTCCTCTTCGTCTTCTCCTCCGCCACCTCCTCCTCCTCCTCCTCTCTCCCGGGACGACAAGGGGCCAGGTCTGGGGCTGAGGCAGTTCCGATGGATCATCTTCTCCTGCGGCTCTTGTGCGGGGCTCCCCACTGTTTCGGACAAATTAGGCACCCTCTTGCCAACTAGAGCGCCAAGTTGTGTCCCTTCCAGAAACATCACCATCTCCTTCCTGGTTTCCATTGTGGCTTCGCTTAAGGGAGGGGGGAAACAAGTCCAGATCTCGTCCCCCCCTCCCTCCCGCTCCCGCCCCAGCCTTGTGCAAACCCGGCAACCCTCTCCTGCCAATGCAGAGGAGCCAGCGGTGAGATAGGGTGACCTTGTGATGCGAGCGCTCCACTGTGCTGTGCTGCTCTGGGAGGGATCACCATTGCCCTCTTCTTTCTAAGCTGTCATCCTCAATGGTGCAGTCGTCATTACAGTACCACTGGTGACGCCACACATTGATTGCCAGTGGATAAATAGAAACGTCTGCCATGGGGAAGATGAAAGGAAGAGCCGGAGCTAATGGGCTAAATGCGTGATGCACCAGGTGTAGGAGCCCGAGATGGAGAGGGAAGTGTGAAAAAGAGATGCATATGGAGCTGAGCTGCAAAGAGGTTGTAACATGCGGTTAGAGTTCCGCAGGGGGAAGCCTTGCTTGACAATTAACTAGCCTTTTGATTGCTTTAAGCCACAGCCTTGATGTAAAATTGAGGCGAAGATCCTTAGCTGCGCCCTGGAAGTGAGAAGATACGCACTCAAGCCTCTTCCTTCGATGCATTATTTATTGCTGGCAATCAGCTTCCGCATAACTGCATATATAAGGCTTTAGGAATCCTTTGCAAACTGGAGGATAAGGAAATGCGCTACTGTCATTCGCATGTAGAAATAGCCTTGACTGCTTGTTTTGATTCAGTATCGCTGCCTGTTGGGATAATCGTTATTGCTTTTTATTGATTCGTGTTAAAACGATAGTTTAAAATCTGAGAATGCGGTTTAAAAATTATTGCGTTTTACAGCTGAAAAGATAAAAACGACTTCGCTTTTCCTAACTGCAGTTGTTCTGGCTGTCTGATATTTGCCATTTACTCTTATTTCTTCCTTCATGGTTTTCATTCGTTCGATGATTCTTGCGCTTTTAAGAGGGTTTTTCTGTCTCCTCCCCTTTCTTCTTTTTAATTAATTGTTTTGCATAAATTATTATCTGCTTTCAGGAGGGAAAACTGCAAGAAGAAGGTCTGCCAAGAATAACCCAGACTCGGAGAAATTCAAGTTATCAAGGCCAGAGCTTATGCTCGCTAGCAGATGTTGCTAAAAGAGAAATGACAAGGGCAACCATTTGGACAGCACTTGTCTGAAAAGAAGGGACCTCGCACCGTAGATACAGTCGCACATGTAGGCTCCTTGGTGTATTTTGGTATTTCTAATGAGTGCGGCAAGTATCTCCTCTCGAGTTAATATTGACTCACACATGTAGTGTCAAGTCATTTTCACCATCTGTCGTAACTAGGTTGTTCTAAATTTTTTCTAAGAGTGTTATTGGCTAGTCGGGTTACAGAAAACATTCAACCAATTGCGTTTCCAACCCGGTAAGGAATTTACTGGCATATTTGAGGTGACGTTGCTTCGGTGGGGAACAGGCAGAGCAATAGGAAACACGCTGGGATTTTCTGCAGAGCCCTGTGAGCAAGACGGTCACGATGCAGGGAGGCAAACGAACAAACAAACAAAAAGCAAGCAGGATTCCGGGTCTGCCCGATCCGCGGATTAAGATGTGCTCCCAGCGATAAGCATGCTAATTTCAGGGGGATAAAACAGGAATTTTTACAGGGCTAGAGCCACCCATCTCTCATGCCACTTGCGTGACACGCATGCTTGTTTACATGCAGACACACACCATGCACACACCACGCTCCTGACCGCGCTGCTTTTCATCACACGAGTGATGCGTGCTCTGCTCGCAAACTTGACTATTTTTTGACAACCCATCGTTAAATTTCCTTTCCTTTCTCTCCCTTGCTAGCCTCTAGACCCGCGTGTGTGTGCCCTTCCTGCCCCGACTGAGGACCCGCCGCAGCCAAGCTCCGCTCCTCCGGCCGTGCGAGCAGAGGAAGGGTGCAGGATCAGGCCCGGCTGCTAGGGAAGCAGGCGGTGGATGGATGGATGGATGGATGGATGGATGGATGGATGGACGGACGGACGGACGGACGGATTAAGCAACCCGTCCCCGCCGCTTGCCTGGTGCCGCAGCGCTCCTGCTCCCGTGGCGTGGAGCAGGGCGGAGGAATGCGGGGCAGCGCGGAGCCGTGCCACGCTGTGCCGAGCCGTGCCACGCCTGTGCCGAGCCGTGCCGAGCCGGGCAAGGCGGGACGCGGCTGCTCGGGCAGCGCTGTGCCCGCTCTGGTGTCCGCTTCCCACGACTCGCGGCGTCATCGCTGCGCTTCGCTGCGGGACCGTTTCGTGTCCCTGTCACCTTCGGGGGGGGGTGGGGAAGGTTTCGCCTCCCTCGAGGCCCGGGTCAGCCCCGGTCCCCCGGGACTGTTCTCCTCCAGGCTCCTTCCCAGCTCGGCCAGGTAGCCGTGCCGAAGGAGGCTGGAGGTGCCTGTGGCGGATGGAGGTTAATTCCCCGTTAACTAAGAGTTGAGGGGACAGCAAGGAAGGGAGTGCGAGGGAGCGATCCCCGAGCTGTCATGAACGTGACAGCCGGGAAGTTTGCGGGAAATCCCTGACTCTTGCAGTCAGAAGCCCGCGGGATGGTCCCGGTGGGTTACGCTGGCCGATCCCCACAAATTTTATCATTTTCGTTTACGATCCGCTGCTGCCTCCTTCCTCACCCGTTTATTAATCCGTTCCCGCCGGGATGCCACCCGTGGTACAGCGCGGGTGGGAGGTTTTGTTGTGCCCGAGATGCTGGCCATTGCCACGGGCGGTCTGGCTCAGCAAAAGGCTGGAGAAAGCACACGCACACAGGCACACACCCACACACGTACACGCCGAGCTAGTTGCCAAAAATACACACAGAGTTAAGGCCCGAGTGGAGTCCAAGGAAAAACAACAACAACAAAAAAAGGGCTCTGTTGGACCCAAAACGCTGGGATCCGTTTAGATGGGATGAGCAGAGGGTTTCCTACATTGCCTTTATTTTCACGTCCCCGAGGAGGATGCGCGGCCGCGATAGCCCCTGCCACGTCCCCGGGGCCGTCCCCACCGCGGCCGGCGCGGAGCTGCTGCACCGGGAATGCAGGCTCCGGAGCTCTGCCTTCTGTCTAGTGTTTCCCACAGATCTGTCAAGTCCGATTTGGAAGGAGACTCCCTCATTTGGGATTAATTTCCAGGCAGATTGGAAAGTGTATCTCTATGGGGTTTTCTTTTTTTTTTTTTTTTTTTTTTCCCTGTCTTGTCCAGACCGAGATTTAAAACCTATTAAGCCTCCCTCGCTCGGTTGGTCACAGTCAGGATGTCATAACTATCCTCAAAACTTTTCAGACTGATTTATTCCTCCGACTTTACAGCTCTTCTTGCTGATATACGGCCGAGGCGAGAGCGGGGCGACTGCGTTCAAAAGGCTAAGTAAGACACCGACTGCAGCTTGACCGCTGCTCAGAGGTGCCCGGTATACAAAAAGCAAACGAAACACACTCCCTTCCCAAAACAAGGAAATTAGAGTGGGGCATTAAAACATTGCTAGAGTGACATACTCATAAATCAGACATGTCCCTTGAAAGAGTTACGTCTGGAGAAGGAAAAACACATCCCACACTTCTTAGCCGCGGGATATTTATTTTCCTTCGCCGCTCATCGGGGTGTCAATAACTTTTGACCGATACCGTCCCATTACGACTGTGGACTCATGGTGCGCCTTCAGTTGCTCTAAAAACCAAGTCCCGTCATCTTTAAAAGAGGAAGAAAGTTCTGACATGCCACGGAACGAAATAGTGCCGAAAAACCCCTGATATGCGGTGCAAATGGGTGACAAAACCAGAAAGCCTATTTTTTAAATTTTAATGGGGAGTGTTAACAATAATGGCGTAATTATCACTGTTTTATTAAGGCTATTTTTTACGACACGGTTAGAGGTGGAAGCTTTGGAAGGAAGAGAATAATAGGCGCATTATTCTGGGGTGGAAGGACAAGGTGATACAGTGACAGCACACAACACATAAGTGGCGTGGAGGAGAGAGAGGACAGACCTGCGAGTGGGATGTGCCTGGGGGAGCATGTAATGGTATTTACAGGACCCGACCCGGGACACGGTTCTGCCTCTGGGTAGCTCTCAATATAGGATTCCAGGCAGCTCTGCGGAGGGCATCTGCCTGCTCTTAATTTTTCTTTACCTGCTGCCTGCCGGAAGCAGCACTTCTCTGCCACCACAGAAGGCTCTGGAGAGTTTTAGCTTGTTAGATCAAAACGTGAAAAAAAAAAAAAAAAGAAAAAAAAAAAAAGAAGGGCCAGATCCTGCTCCTGGGTCATTCAGGACAAGTTTGCCCGTGGAAACTAGATCTGCTGCCTTACTGGTGGCAGTGAGTAAATCGTGCAGGAATCTGGGCTTTCGATTTCAATTGCTATCGCTTCCAGACTCGTCGAGAGCCATAAAACTGCGGCATCCTTTTAATGTTACCGTGAGCTGTAAAAACACGATCTGCGTGGCAAACTCGCTGATTTGAAAGCAGAATAATATTTATGGTGGGAATTTAATTCGGCGGAAGGCACAGGTAAATGAAAAGCGACAGTCATTCAGTGGGACCCGTGACGAGGATTTTTATTATCTTTATTTTTATTTTTTTTTAATGAAATTTAACGAGAGATCAGTCCGCACCTCCCCATGCTGTGCATCTTCTCGTCCCCCTGGGGTCGGGTGCCGGTGACCTGGCGCACCTCAGCATCACTTGCAGAAGCAGGCAGAAGCTCTGGGTTTGCAAAGGGGCAACCCCACGACTGCCTAGAAATGCCCGAAAACCCTTTCAGGGGGACGTATCCCCACCGAGAGCAACCCGCAGGAATGCCAGAGGCAAACACGCAGCCTGTCACTGCATTTAGCACTCTGTTCCGGGCGGGGGGTACTCTCTTTGTGCTTCCCTCCTGCATCCACCCCTCTTTGCTTCTACCCCCGCCGCTGTCGGGGGGCACCTGGAGGCTGTCGGGGGGCTCCGTGCCGGTCCCTTCCCGGAAGGAAATGGCCGAAACGAGGGGCGTTTGCAACGCGCGGTGTCATCCCATGCGCATGGTCGGAGCCGGGGCTGTCTGCGCCCTCTTGCAGCCCTTCGCTTCCCAGCCGCAGGGGCGGCTTTGGGCCCGATTCTGCTCGGCCGGGGCTATTCTGGCTGGGCTGATGCTATTTTAACAGAGCAGTGTGAAGAGGTGTGTAGCTGTGGTTCAGAGCTCTGGGGATTGAGCCTGAGAGGTGGAAGCTGAATCCCCGTCTGCTCAGCCCAGAGAGAATGGCTGCCAATGTCCCAGCTCATATACTGGATGCTGGGGACCCTGTTCTTCCCCAGGAAGAGAGTGAGAAATCCCCACGGAAGGTTCCTCTGAAATGCTGAGGGATCTCTCGCTATCGAAGGTTCACGCATTTCCTGAAGTGCCAGTAGCTGGTGTATTCCCCCAGAGACCCAACTGTAC